TGTTTATTCTTTTTACCAGGCGTGGCCGGGCCACCCCGGCCCCCTGGACTATCAAAATGGGTGCCTTATTTTTATGATTAAAAAAAAAGACTGTAGTCGGCGACGCGTCGACGAATCAGCATTCGTTTCGTATCCGTATACCCGGGCCGCGCCGGGCCGTAGATCTACGCGTGGTGCGAAAGGTCCCTACAATTTTTTTTGTAGTACATGTACTATGATGTAGCATGCAGCTGCCTTGCACGAAACAAAAAGAGGAACAAAAACAAGAGCGACCACGATGGGACTCGAACCCACAATCTTCTGATTCGAAGTCAGACGCCTTATCCGTTAGGCCACGCGGTCTGCCTTGGATAATGTAAGATGACGTACTGTATTATACCTGAAAATGCCAAAAGACATGGTGGTGGGAAATTTTTTGACGTGATCACTGCACTTTCAAAAACAAAACAACTACTAGTATTACTTGAACTCCTGCGCTGGTGCATGGTCGAAGCAGGTCGTAGTTCCCTGCACTCTATTTTGCAAGTGTTGTGAGAGTTCTTTGGACTGGTATCTGCAAGGCGTCTAAAGGAGTAGCAGGCTCTTTTCAGCTACGCTACAGAGTTTGGAATAATGGCACATCGTGTGGCCAAGTCTATCAAAGTGAAGAATGTAGAACAGTTGCACAACCAAGTCGCTGCTATTGTGGAGAAATGGCCAACACCCCAACCCAGAGGGTCAGAGCGCAACTTGAGAGCTGTAATGCAACGCCGCCTGAACACTGAGTGGGCCGTTTCGACCTGGAATGAGAAGGATGCAGCCGCCACTCTCAATGTGGTCAAGCAGCTCGAAGAAAACGCATGCAAAAGAAAGTTTCCCCTGAAACATACACACTCGCTCCTGCCCCTAAACAAAATAGATGAATATCTGTACACAGAAGGCAAAGTGCCGTTTAGAAAGCGATTGATGAAATACTTTTCATAATTCCCTTACTACTGTCGCAGCTAATCTCCTTGCGGATCATCCATTTGAACAGACCTGTTGCACTGCGCCGCGAAGTGAGCCAGTCCAGCCAGCCAGTGGTGTGTTGCTCGTCGTGAGTGGTGTGATGGTGGCCAATGGCTCCGCTGTGCACGTATGCACGAGGTATTGCCTGTGCCAGGTGGCTGATGTCGGTCGCTGAGTACCAGCTATTGTCCAGGACTGGTCGCAGCAGCAATAGCAACAACAACAACAGCATGCGCCATCATGACATGGTGATTCCATGCTACATGTTTAATGCTGGTCTCCCTTCCCTCTGTACTGACTGCTGAGGGAAAATTCAGTGCGGAAGTCCCAACCGCCATTGTGGCGTATCCCGTCGATGTACTGCTTTGGGTGCTGTCGTCATCGCCGCTTGCGTACTGTGATGGTACGTGTATCAAGCTCTATATGAAAACTTGAATTTACATGCTTTATATCGGCCCAGGGAGAGGCTAGAAGATAGTTCTCTTCTTCAGTATGGTCCTGCCTTTTTTTGGGCAGTATAGACATGCTTTGCCTTTACATGTACATTCATACATAATTATGTGTAAATGTACACTCGGTACTCTCTCCCGTGCATTGATACCATTGATGCCATGCTGGTGATAGGACTTGGAAATATCTATCTTTCTGCCTTTCTTACGGAATTGCCTGGCTCTTCTCTGTAGCGATGGCATGTGTGTGTATGTGTGTGTGTGTGCGTGTGCACAGGCATGCTGTATGCAGAAAGACAGACATTGAGTGAGAGAGTGTGTATGTGATTTGGGGGGGGGGGGGACATTTTCAGACTTTCTACGCTTAGGATAAATATGTTACCATCATCAGTTGTTTGTGTGTTCATATCCCTGTCTGTATGTCTCCCTCTCTCTCTCTCTCTCTCTCTCTCTCTCTCTCTCTCTCTCTCTCTCTCTCTCTCTCTCTCTCTCTCTCTCTCTCTCTCTCTCTCTCTCTCTCTCTCTCTCTCTCTCTCTCTCTCTCTCTCTCTCTCTCTCTCTCTCTCTCTCTCTCTCTCTCTCTCTCTCTCTCTCTCTCTCTCTCTCTCTCTCTCTCTCTCTCTCTCTCTCTCTCTCTCTCTCTCTCTCTCTCTCTCTCTCTCTCTCTCTCTCTCTCTCTCTCTCTCTCTCTCTCTCTCTCTCTCTCTCTCTCTCTCTCTCTCTCTCTCTCTCTCTCTCTCTCTCTCTCTCTCTCTCTCTCTCTCTCTCTCTGCGCCGGTGCCCTTCAAGGGGGGGTGGGGGGCCTCCCCGGGAAAAATTTTCAAAAAAATGAAGCAAAATCCTGCATTTTGAGCGAAAAAAGGGGGGGGTTCCGGGCGCCCAGGAACCCATACGGCCCGGTACGGGGCACGCGCCTGCACACACACACACACACACACACACACTACTACTACTACTACTACTACTACTACTACTACTACTACTACTACTACTACTGGCAGCTGCCAGAAATGGCCACGCCGGACCCCGAAGGGAGGTACTGCACACGCACACACACACACACACACACACACACACACTTGTACTTGCTCACTGCCAGAAACTGGTCATGTGGGTCTCCCATTGGAAGAGGAAAGAGAGACTCAGATGTCAGCCCAACCTATGGCCTAGTATGGGTGGACTTGAACAATATGATCCTACTGATGAGCTCACCACAGCAAGCGTGGGAGAACAACACCACAGCAAGCGTGGGAGAACAACACCACAGCAAGCGTGGGAGAACAACACGAAAAGTAAATGGACACACACACACACACACTCGTACACTTGTGCCAATGCACGCACTTGCATGCCGAGACCCGAGCGGACCCATGCCATAACTATGTGTTGCCTTGGATACTTCGGCACAGCGCAAAACACACCAAGTGTGACTTTTCAATGATATCCACAATAGAAACTAGAGCTCACAAAAATGATTCCAGGACAATAAATTAACTTCATGCCATAGGACCGGGTCAGGTCATGAGCAGAACAATAACGAAATACTTGAAAAAATCATTGCAGAATAGATAAAGTTAGACAAATAAACAACAGTGAGGGATCTCTCTGTGAACTTCTACCGCTAGACCAGACATGGCATCTCTCAAGGAGAGGCACGGGGAATAACCCCAACTAAAAGACTTTACAAATTTGTATAACGAAAACCATGATTCGCGGAGGCAAGACAACACCAAGGCAGTTGATATCAACAGTCTAAGAGCTTTTCACGCACTGACTAAAGACAGGCTCCTTAGTTGCAAAATACAACTGCATGCATTCTTCACTTAGCAAACGCAAGGGGTTGATAGTTCGCATAAAGAGAGTGTTCAGTGAAAAGTGCTTTTTAGTCTCTGTAAAGAACGTCAAAAGAAAATGAGAAAGAAATTGCAAAAAAATATCATTCTCTCAATGTGTGCTAAAAGCAAACAGCAATAAAATCTGCATGCCATATGGAGTTTGGGTGTCTCAAATAGAAATAGAAACTCTGGAACTATGTGTCCTAATCTAAAGTACTATGTCCGGTGCTGGAGATTCGCACACATGGCTACTGTGCGCCCGTGGTCTCAAGAGTTGCGTCAAGGAAAGTAGAAAGGCTGTACATGCGGGTGTGGCGGTGGTGAGGCGATATGATACACGTCGGTCAATGAGAATGAGATAGAGTAGTGTCCAGTACTTGATAGCAGTCAGGCGGCGAGTCAATGTACTTCTGGGGCGTACAGGCGAGGTGCGGATAGGTTCATTTCGGCTTACATACAGCGGGGTATGTATATGTATCTTTACACTGTTTGTTATGTTACATCACGCCACCAGTCCGGTACGGCTGGCGTATGCCGCACTGGCTGTTGGGCTGGCGTGTGCCGCACTGGCTGTTGGGCTGACGTGTGCCACGCTGGCTGTAGGGCTGGCGTGTGCCACGCTGGCTGTAGGGCTGGCGTGTGCCGCACTGGCTGTTGGGCTGGGGAAATGCCACACTGGCTGTTGGGCTGGGGAAATGCCACACTGGCTGTAGGGCTGGGGAAATGCCACACTGGCTGTTGGGCTGAGGAAATGCCACACTGGCTGTAGGGCTGGCGTGTGCCGCACTGGCTAGTGGTGCAATCAGGCAACAGGAATAGGCATGAGTTGCTCAGTGCTTCCTACCAGCGACACGTCAGATGCACTGGACGAGTCTTGACTGTCGGAGCTGAGGCTGTGCTTGTTACGCCGGCGCTTGGCCAGAGGGGCTCCATCGACGGAGCGCAGCTTGAACGGCCGCTTCTCCGGGATGGGAATGAGCAGGTTGGGTCGCTTATTGCTATGCAGTGGCTGAGTAGTGATCATGGGGGGCAGTGGCAATGTGCTGCAGGCCACTGGTCGTGGTGGATCGCTGCCAACCAGCCACTTGCTGCGCGCCACAGCATCCAGGCTGAGCCGCTCCAGCGGATTCACAGTTAACAGTCCTGGTAACGACAGATTCAGAACAAACACACACACACACACACACACACACACACACACCTTAGCATGACAGTTGCAATGGTGAACCGAGATTACAAAAAATCCTATTCCGGGATGCGTTTGCTGACTATTTTGTCACAGCTCTTTGGTAACCCTTCACCGGTGTGTTTCTCATTGCAAGATACCTAGTGCCACCTTCTGTTACACACTAACGTTACCAGTATCCATGGTAACGGCTAGAGCACAGCAAGTATGAGAGTATGAGTGTTATACAAGCGTACCTTTGATCAAGTCCTTGGCGGCACTGGACACCGAATCCCACTCGGGGCGGTTGAAGTTGAAGTCTCCCTGGGAGATGCGCTGCAGGATGTCGGACACCGCGTAGTCCTGCGCCGCACTGCGATTGGGTGGCACAAACGGAGTCTGGCCGCACAGCATGGTGAACTGTAGCAGGGAGAAATGAACGAGACATCAGGTGCACAGCCAAAACAGATAGAACGCATTAGAGAGGTTCCGCATAACGTAATTACGTTAGTAAAAAACGTAGTCGATCTACGGAAAGTCTTACGTAAACTTCATGCGCATCTGGGTTCCGCCATACAGAGTTTTCAAATCACGTAGCTGCCCTTGGCAACTCTGAACGCGGCAGTGTACGACCAGATCGACCTGGGGAGAGAGTCATAAATTTGTACCCCAATCCACTTACGGACCAGCTACGTTATCAGAGCCCTATCTACGTACTCTCCGTAGACAACTTTCCGTAAGTGGAGTGCAAACTCGCGAATTCACGGGTTTTTCCCGCCCACTAACGTAAAGTTGCTCAACTTTACGTAGTGCGGAACCTCTCTAATGACACTCCATTCAAACCCAACGGATCTGGTCAGTCAAGTTGCTCTCAGTACATCGGCACATCGTCCCTACATTCCCTTTGTCTTGTGTTATGTTCTCATCCACATGTTTCCCAGCAGAGCTGTGTTCATAGTAACAAAATATCTGACAATAGAAGATCGAGACAGCAACATAAAACGAGGAGATGCCTGCACCGTCTTACCATGATAACGCCGATGCTCCATAGGTCGCACGATTGATCGTAGCCATCCTGCTGGCGCTGAGAAGCCACCATGTTGCCGCACTGCTGCAGCGCGCACTGCTGCAGAACTTCCGGCGCCGTGTACTGGATGGTCAGGCAGGGCGTGAACAGCTGCTCCTGGTTCTCCGGCATGCGCCGCGCAAAGCCAAAGTCGATTATCTTGATGTCAGCGTTCTCCTGCTCCGACGTGAACATCAAATTCTGCCAAGTACATACACACAATGGACATTTATCAGAGGAAATTCTTGGTCACTACACTAAGGACCTACAGGCTATAGACGCAACGCGAAAGAAGTCATAATGATGAGTCGGCAAAATTCTGGATACGCTTATGGGCGCTAAATATACTTGTACAGTGGAACTGCTTATAGGCGCTAAGTACACAGTGGAACTTCCTATAGGTGCTATGTACTTCATGTTTGAAGTACATGTACACAAAGGGAGTCGCTAGTGCATCGCTAGCGCACGCTGTGCGCCAACTTTGCCAACGCATCTCAACTGATGACGTAATCGCATTACCTATATCGGGCTATCATCATCATCATCATTGTACATCACAATCAATAACTGCTTTTGCACAAACGCATGGACACCACCCGCTGTTACAGAGCCAGTGCCACACTCTGCACTCCACACAGCAGTTTAGTTAAAACACGCCATCCGCTGAATAGCACAATAACACATTGTCAGCGTATAATCATATTACTATAATGCATACATTTACCGCACCAAAAAACCCTGTCTTAGGCAACCACACGAGGGACCCGGAATACATGGTCCTTGCGCGTGCACAGGTGTTTGATCCCATCGCCTCATTCTAGCTGTCTCAGTCTCACTGTGCACACCTATGTGTTGATATCAAACATTCACGGGTACTTCCAAGTAAAAAAATTAAAAAATTCACGGTTCGTGTCAGACTTGGTTAGAGGCCCGAAGTACATCCAATCCAAATGCAGATGAAGTACATCCAATCCAAATGCAGATGAAGTGCATCTAATCCGAATGCAGATGAAGTGCATCTAATCCGAATGCAGATGAAGTGCATCTAATCCAAAAGCAGACCCACCATAGTGTCCATGTATGCTCCAGCTTACCTCTGGTTTGAGGTCGCGGTGGACGATTCCCTTCTTGTGTAGGAACTGCACAGCGTTGACTAGCTGTTGTGTGACGCGACGAGCCTCGGGCTCGCTGAAACATCCCTTCTGCTGGATGCGCTTGAGCAGCTCACCGCCTTTCATCAGTTCCATCACGATGTAGGTGTGGAGCTATTCGGACATAGAGAGGGGGGGGGGGGGGGAGGGGGGCAGACAGACAAATAGACAAACAGACAGACAGAACAACAAACACATCAAATCAAGGTACATTACATTGTATAGACTTTGTGACTCGCGGCAAGGCAACCAGTATGTATGGATTATGAACACCTCCCAAGCCATGCTAAGCACAGGCGTACTGCCAATCTTGGCCCACTCACATGTGACATCGCCCATGAATAGATCATCTTCTTTCCACCTGAGCGCGCCATGTGTTACTAGCAGTCAGTAGTACTAAATGATTAGCGTAACTGGTGGCCTTATCAGTGGTGGCGTAAATGGTGGCCATATTGGTGACGTAACTGGTGGCCTTATTCACACTGGATGTTGTAACGTAAACAGAGCGCTCACTCACCTCATCATGCATGTCATCGACGTATGCAACGACATGCCGATAGCCTTGGCAGAGACGAAGAATGTTCAGCTCCTGGGTTGCATCCACCCTACCACCAGAAACAGGGAAGCACGAATGAGTTTAAAATATAATTACTTGCACCGGCCTCCAGTCCAATACCCGCATATCATTATTGTCATGCAGAAATCCGCGTGTGGCTACCTTTCAGCTGGAAAAGAGTGCTTCTTACGATGTAATGTGAGTTCAGGATCAAACAAACACTAAATGGGGGGGGGGGGGAGGAGGGGGTAAACAACGTCGTACCATACATGTGCATGCACGTGACCTACTACATTTGCACACGAAATGACGGAAGTTGGGTCTTACTCGAATTGCTAAGTGGCCTCTAGCCAGTCCTGTACGAAGGACACTTGCTAAATGAGCACCAAACACTGTACACGAATGGCAAATCTTAGCAGGGAATATCCTTAGCAGTTTCCAAATCACCAACCCACCATAGAGGGACCGAAAGCAGAGGTTAAAACAGTAGAGTTGCAACGTGTGCGCCTAACACAGTGCTTGCTAGACTGAGGAGCACACATTCCAAATTGGCGAGGTCAAACTTTAGCCAACACATTCCTTCTGCTAAAATTGCTACAGAAATTTCATCGACTTTACTAGAACTTCCAGCATTGCACCCTATCTGTAATGCTTACCGTCTGCTGATAATCTTCACTGCATACTCGCGTCCGGACACCCGGTGGATGCAGCGTCTGCAGACGGCACAAACACCACGCATGACAGCAGCAGAAACGGCTCAGTCATGCGGTCAGCATGAAGTCAATTCCATTTGTTTTCTAGATGACTACTAGTTATTGAGGGTGCATTGGTCTGACGAAAAAACTGCCACAAGTGATGGTGCTGTGCGACCACTGTTGAACTGGGCCGAGACGCGTACTGAGGTACAAAGAGGAAAGAATGACCTCACCTGCATGTAGAGAAGGAGCCGACGCCCAAGACTTCCTCAGCCACTTCATAGATACGGTGAAAATGCGAATTCTGACCAAAACCAGCAGCACACAGGAAGACAAAACACTGTTTTCAGTGGCAGAACTATTGTCCAGTGGTGTAAAGTACCATTGTGGTGCAGGGCTGCATCAATTGGGAGAATGGGGCAGGGGAACACGGGTACAGATGAGGGTAGGGGTGAAACAATCACTGAAAATTGGTTACGATTACCTATTCTTTGTGAGCGATCGAGTTGTCGGTCATAGCGACTATATCCAGGTGTTAGGTTAAATTTCATTGAATTGGTGCTATTTTCCTTCAGGGCTTTTGCGTAATACCCGATATGACTCCAAGCAGTTATGCATTGCAGCTATGATCGGAGCTACATGTTGAACTAGTGCAAAGCTTACAGGCAACACGGAGAACATCGGGGACGCGGACGGCTCCAGTCGAGCCTGCGCCTTGAGGTCTTTGAGCGTGGTGTTCTCGCTGAATAGGATTGACGGTGCAACAAATGAATATCCCTACAGTGAAGCACATACATGCACAGAGAGAGAGTGAGAGAGTGACAACTAGATATTGGAATACAGCAATTCTCTCACATGGATACAATAGCTTACAAGAGAACAGAAAAGCAAAGTATTCCGCTCCCCATCCACTGGTGCAATTACATGCACAAACACTCCTGGGAACGAGAGACGGTCCAGTCAGAATAACGACGGTCAATGTGTCCAAATAGGCAAAAGACGTTACAAGGGTGTCGTGCCATGCGAGAACAAGACATGTTGATCAGCACGTTGGTTCACAACACCAGCATAGTAGACATAACCACGCTATCCAGTGTCGACCACCACAGCACACATGCAGCTTTCCAAGAGCTGAGAGTGCAGCACTTACTCGGAACACGCCGCGGCTGTTGGGAGGCACGGCAGTCGCCGGGGAGACCACTGGCGTCATTGATGTGAACTCTTCGGCAAAGTTGCGTGTGTCCACATCACTAGCAATGACAGGCCGGAAAGGTGGCGTGACACGGAGTTCAGCCAGCGCGGTCCAGTCCAGGGCCTATAAAGCAAAACAGCACGGATAGCATTACCGGTATATCCTTTTCCCGTTTGCATCTTTCCATCAAACCAATGAATAGCATGATAATCATAACATACATTGCATGATACAAGATAAGCAGCGACTAAACACACACACACACACACACACACACACACACACACACACACACACACACAGGCCAGGCTACAACACACAACAGTGAGCATGCACACCAGAGCACACATAGACTGACATACCTTGAAGAAACGATGCTGCTTGATAGCATCGGCATCGTCGGCACTGTTACCCAGCCGATGCTTGGGATCCTTCACCAACAGCTTTCTCAACAGCGATACCATGTCCTCGCTGAAATACTTTGGATACGGTGGGTCGTTGTTGATGATACGCCTGCAGGTTGAAGGGAGAAAAAGCAAAATTTTGGTCAGTCTTCTTTTTCTGACCTCGGTTATCACATGCTCCTGTGGCAAAATACTGCTTGCCTAAACGATAAGCAAGTATGCGTAGCAACTGACATCCCCAAAATCATGTTTGCAGTTCATTAAACCAGTAGGTACCCATCTCTTAGATGATGATGTCAAATTTCACATCCTACTTGACAGACAGACTTAGCAACTTGCACAGCAAGTGCACAACAAGCTCTGGAGTGTGACACAGAAGATCTTATCATTCGGGCCGGACTCGGGATGCGACAAGGAGTCAAGGAACTGCTCCACGCTTGCTTGATGAGTAGTTAAACCTCTCCAATACTATCATTGACATAGTTGCAAGTCACCTTTGTGTGCGACCAGGAAGATGTACCAGAGAAAGCACACTCTTCATCTCTCTTATCCGGACCTCCAAGTAACTAGTTACGGGCACCTCGGTCCACCGAGTACCCCGTGGGCGAGTTAAAGTGAAAATATAACCACTATTTTGCCAAATTTGTTGAAATGCTGACGTCATACACCTGATCTCTGGCCCTTCCCCATCAAAATGTACGTGATTCAGAGTTACAGACATTTCCAAGTTATGGGCAGTGCCTGGTCCCAGACGGGCCATAACTTATAAGATATAATTATATTACTGTATGCAGAAAGATCAAATGCTTTGAAGTATAATTATATCATTGTGAGGCATGAAAAGTTGGATCAGCGTCACACGGCTGGCATTACAATAACGCTAGCAAAGGGATCTGTCTACCAGAACATACACACAAAACACACCTTGAGACGTCTGTCTGCGAGTTCTTCTCTCCATCAACGGTGAACGGTGATGTGCCACTGCGGAGCTCAAACATTAGAACACCCAGGCTCCACCAGTCTGCGGACTGCGCATACACACAGAAATTGAATATACACAGGAATGTTCTCTCTCCGCACGGACTGAACTCACGTAATGCATAGGATCGGCATTGAGCCCAGGCAGTACACAGGTACTACAGACCGACCATAGAACTTTGCATGGTGCATAGCACTATGTAATGTATAGAACTGTGCATGGTGCATAGCACTATGTAATGAACCAGCCGGCACAGACAGTGCCCACAAGACACAATGGGAGACCCGGTCGCATACTTCCTCTGGTTCAATAAAAGCACTTCTATGAGCAAATCAATAGGAAAGCGGCAATTCCAATGAACCGGAGGAAGTAACCTATTTCCACCTGTCATAGGAGTGGCACGATTGAATGGCAGTCACTACATCAGGACCACAGTATTAGTGGTGTTCTCTTATGCCGAGCCACTGACTACGCTTTCCAGATAGGCAAGCTCCGGTGCTCAGGCAGAAAAAAAACGTATGATCAGAGCAGCAGCCACACGGCCAAAAACGCATCTACCACAGTAATCATACGGAGGCGCTAAGCATTGGTTTTACACCGACGCGTACCTTATTGTGGCCCTTCTTGCCCGATACCACTTCGGGCGCCATGTACTCGATGGTGCCACAAAACGAGAACGTCTTGTCACCCTAAGAGAGCCAAGATAGAAAGAGAATACAGCACAGCATGACTCGTACACGTAATAGGGCATGGTCCAGTCACCTACCTAGCAAGTTGCCTTGCTTCCCTGTATGTTATTCTCTGGACAAAGTTGATGTTCAACATGCAAAGCTACTGTTCTAAAGCGGCGCAACCGAGAGGACCAGCCATTTGATAAGGGACACTATGGTCTATGGTATGGCCCAAAGGAAAAAGAAGTGATGCTTTAATATGCGCAAGTACGGTTCGCCCTCGACATGGTCAACCGTGCATGCAGCATCTTTGAGCACCTGAGCAGAGTAGCGGTCATGTGCAGGAATCAAGCTGAAAAAGCGGAGTTCTTTTGCACACCTCCCTTTGCATTCCTGTGAACTCGGTCAAGAACCCATGGGATACCAATCAGAAAAAATGGCACTAAGGGTAGCTTCACTTACGCTCGTCATCAACTCTTTGCTGAGTCCAAAGTCAGTCAAGACGACGTGGCCATCACGGTTTAGCAGGATGTTCTCAAGTTTGATATCTCTATAGATAATGCCCAGCTGCACAAAGTGAGAGAGAGAAAAGTTCCGGAGGGCCACCGTTGAATACAAACAAACAGATGTGCAAAACAGCATACAGGTGAAGGGCAGGCACTGTGAACAGTGTAAACGCATACGGACATGCTCAGGGACAGCGTGAGGCAGTGATCAAAAGAAAGTGAAAATTTGTATACACATGTTGCTGGTTACGGATGGCCAGTTGCATGTTCTGTACCTAAAATATTATTTGTCCCTTCCACCTAGGTCACACTGGTTACAGGGCATGTTCAAGAAGGAATCCCTAGGCTACGTTTTCGTGAATAATGTTCCAAGGAAGTGGGGAGATGGGCCGACCATAACTGTGAAATTCATGTTTGTGAGCCAGATTACTCCACATAGGCAGTGTGCTTCTTTGGTCCGTATGTCTACAAAATGATCTTGCACTAAACACAACATGGGCATGTTATGCTTTGACAGCTACATGTATGTAGTACAAGGCATGTGCACCCGGCTTTTGGTAGGTGCAATCGTAGCCATCACAAAAAGTGTGCATCATGTACAAGACTCTCTGATGGCATATGGAGTGTATATCAGCCAGGATTTCATCTGCCACAAGTGAGCTGTATGTTGAACTGCATGGTGCAGTTGGGCAGTAATCGTGTATAAATTAATGTCATGCACTACTAGTACTATGAATAAGGTGCACATGTAGAAATGCCAGTGCAGTGGCGGTATCAGCAACTGTCCTTGATTTCCGCCGGTGCAGTGTGTAACAGTGTTGTTACTACAATTTGTACAATGACTATGTACAACCATGATTCTATCTGGCTATGTTATGTAGGATCGGAGCAGGAGTAGTGATCTTGTACATAAGACTTGAGTGGTCCTAACAGTAAACTGCACTCTACACTACACTACACTACACATAGTGACATACACAGTCTACAGGACCAGTAGTCTGGTACAGTGGTAGTGGCAGTAGGCAGCATGACCCTGAGTACAGTGGTAGTGGCAGTAGGCAGCATGACCCTGAGTACAGTCATATACAGTCACTGGGGCAGCAGTACACTAAACAGGACACAGACTCTGGAACTACTTTGCAGACAGGAAAATACACAACACATAGCTATAGACTATTATGCTAACTAATGAGTTTGCTAAGGTTGTTCTATATCAAGAGGGTCATTCATTGATTAATGTTTTATCATGTTCACCATTGGGGGCCAAGCAGTGTCCACAGTCTGTGCTACCTCCTAGTCCACTCCCGGGCCACTCACTAGCCTGGTGACCTAAACTAAGTAAAAGGCTGAAACCTGGATGGCTCTGGTCTGGTGGTCTAGTCAACAGTACGAGTACTGTACTTCTAAGTAACTTAGTTCTAAGTTCTAACTAAAATACTATAATAGTATGTAGTGGACAGTCTTGCATAGGCGACTCTTTGACTTTGCCTTGGGTTTCAACAATCCTTGTGCGTGATGATCTATTGATTATCTTGTAACACATTGTGGTGGGATCGCTGCGTGACTCAGCGTACTCAGTGGGATCACAAGGTCACACCTGCTGCTGTGCGATTTTTTTGTAGAAGCGCTACCACTCCAGTAGCGTTGTGCTCCTGCCCGCACGAGGCAGAAATGCCCTGCTTTTCGAGGACTAACTAATTTCTAACCACACCGGTCCAACGTTCGCAAGGCAACGCCTGGAGCCGTCCTCAATAAACTTGAAGAAACACACTAATCAGGGTCGACTAGTCTTGAAGAACTTCTGATCAGAACAAATCAATCCTACCGCCAAGGCTAGGAGTTCATATACGGATATTATAATGGCAACGCATAGCTGCTCAGTGATGGCCTGTATCTCACCACTAATACCTACACACAGCTGACGGCAAGTATTAGAATTAGAAATACCCTTTGGGGAGATTGGTTGTCAGCCGAAAATTGATAATGTGTTTCCTCAGCTGACACCGATACGGCAATAGGCAGAGGCCAAGGTCCAGAGCTGCACTCGCTACATTGGTGAATCGGCCGGCTGTTTGAATCATTCAAGTAGCAAACGTTCTGCGCAGTCCAGTAGAATGCAGTGCCAGGTCTGCTGCTGGAGTCGCCGCTGCCGGCGGTCTAGAGCGGAGGTACCGTCGACAGCGGTTGCCTTTCGTCACAGACCACAGGTGGATTGTTACCATCGACCAGTTAAGTGGCAGTGTGCTACGACCGTCCACCTGTCGATGATCATTCATACTCACATACTCCGACACCGCACGTATGTTCAACTGTGGTATGGACTAGTCCTGGGCCTACTGCTCGTACATGTACTTCGCAACTGCGTTACGCTCGTCGATCTCCGCCTTCACAAGCGAGTCGAATCGGCCGACCTACAATGCATATCTACGGGACTTTGAAGTCGCGACGACGCAGACCATGGCAGACGGACCTAGCCCACGCGCTGTTTGCCTGCATATGCGCTGACAGCCCCGGACACAACCCCGTCAGATCGAAGAATTGTTGAGCAAGAAATCATCACTTATACATGTAGCGGAGATGGGTACTTGTCAACTGTGGACATGTCGACGTCGTCGCCTCGAGCTCGATCGACGAGTCTTTTACGATCTTTGCATGCGCGTTAGTGTACACAGATAGAAGACAATCAGAGACGAATAGACGTACATGACGTATACCTACAGAGTACAGTGTATAATCAACAGAAAGCGTAATACAGTCATTATTGTCTTTAGCAAACAGAAGCTTATCGACACTGACTAACCTTATGCAGATGCTCCAAGGCGAGCGTGACCTCGCCGATGTAGAAGCGACACTCAGCATCCGAAAAGCGCTCGTGATGATAAAGATGAGTGAACAGCTCCCCGCCGCTAACATAATCTGCAACACAAACATTCGCCGGAGTTTGTGAATTTACTTTCTTGCGTAGCTAGCCCGTGCATGCCCTAGGGATCAATGGGGGAAGCTTGAAAACCACGACGTTGTCAAAAAAATGAACATGCAATGGTCCTGAGCAGGTATGCATGCCGGATGAATCCAGTGCTGTCTTATGTCACGTCGTTCTTTCATCCATATGCATTCATTTTCCCGGACGGTGGGCAGACGATCTTCCAATATTATTAATTTTCTAAAGTCACATTTCGGAGGAAATGCCGCCAGGCGAGGTGGCAAAAGCTGCAGGAGCCAACTACTTTGTAGCGAGGAGTGAGTCGATATTCACAAAAACACACACACATCATACAGACTAACAGAAATCATAATGCAGTGGTGCCGATCTATCACCGACCCGCAAACCCTGTAGCCGTGGGGTCTACAGGTAGATCTACAGGGCTATCTAGGGGATCCCCGGGAGTGGATCATGAAAACGAGTACCGGCAATGGTATGCTGCTATGCACATAATTCACAAAATATGTGGCACCCTGCTGCACAGAAAGCCCTACACTAGAGTAACACCACTGACACGAAATTGACGCCGAGGCGAGTGCAATGACCCAAAAGTCCAACCAGGCCACGCAGGCAAGATCACTGCAGCGCTTTGGAACACCACCTACTGCAACAATCACTCTCAGAGCGTCAGGCACAACCTACGGCGCTAGGCTCTTTTATCTAGGTGGACGGACGGACATGTACGAACGGCTCGAATCAAAGTGTTACCAAAGAAAGATAAACAACTCGAACGTGCCATACATTGACAGATTCTGGTGATCACAGACTACACTAGAGTAGAGATGGGAATACTGGGAATACGAACACGATCGAGGACACCTAAATCAATCTCACCTAAGATCAGGTGTAGCTTGGCATCGGTCTGAAACGCGTAGTGCAGGGTGACCAAGAAAGGAGACTTGCGGACTTCGCCAAGCACTTGTCGCTCCGTCATCGTGTGCTCGGCCGTCTTCGCCTTCTGGACAATGGCAGCCTTCTTCAAAACCTTCATGGCGAACAGTCGTCCTGCAGCGTAGCCAGCGCGCTTCTTCACCAGAAAGACTTTGCCATAAGCTGCAGTCATGAACGGCACACACAGATCCGTCGACATCGCATTATGTACATGATGTAATGTGCAAATGGAGAGTCATTCGCTCAGAACTCCCAAAACACAGGACCCAGTATTACCCCAGACATCCAACCATTCCTCACCTCCCGTTCCAAGCACTTTCAGTAACTCAAAGCTGTGCTCGCCGATCTTCTCTTTATGTCCGGTGAGGTTCGCTGCAACCAAAGAATAGAGAAACGTAAAGGACCATCTTTACCCCACAATACAATCGAACGCACATATTTGCTCGCCAGGGCACAATACGCGCTGGGGTTCCAACACGACGAATACTCGGTCTACGAGTGCTGCTCACCTGTGGTGATTTCGTGGCGCTGAACACGTTCATCTTCGCTTTCTCTCTTCTCCGTGTACGGTCTTGAGGCCAGCGAGGAAGCCATGGTCTAGAATGACCTAGCTCTAACACAGCACGAACACGCACATACACACACGCATGCACCATAAGATCACGGAAACACAAAAGGCCAGTACTAGTATTCGAATCGATAGCATTGGGGAGATCTCTAACGTTCTACTCCCCATCCGCTGGAGCGTTTCACTGTGACCTACCGTTCAGATAGGATTAGCCAATGGCCAGGCGTAGCTCACCGAGGGTGGAGAGGAAAGCTGTCGGACCAGGACTGAACCAAAGCGAAGGGAGATCCACAACCATTCGCCGTCACACAATCCTCTTCAACTACTGACTCTGTCGTACTGAACTAATCCCACTCACTCATATCAGTGCTGTTGCACAGTCTGTACTGTTTGCATAGCAATATTAGCAAGCATGTCACTCAACTCAAGTCAAGGCTGAGCCCCAGCACTCAGTGCATGCTTGTCACGTCGTTAGCATGTATGACAGTATTTTATATGTGCAACTGCAAGTATAGTGAAGCGAGATCACACACACTCCTACTTATACATGGCTTGTAGTACTAGTAGTACTTGTAGACGACAGTTTACCATGGTTTACCACATCAGGCACATGCACCCACACTGCCTGTATCATGCATGCACTGCTACTACTAGTACTAGTACTAGTAGTAGTAGTAGTAGTGCTAGCTAGTGATCTACTATACTCCTACTGTACTAGTAGTAGTAGTAGTATTGCCTACACCATATTCCATAATATAGATCTACAGACTACACAACGACGTTACGTAGATCAGATTCTACTCTCTTATGTCTGCCGTCACTGCACTGTGTGCAGGTGCAGGCTCTGAAGTCTGAAGTCTGAGTCTGACTTCAGTTCTGAGTAGATCTGCGACTGCCTACTACTACTAGTACTAGTACTGACAGTGACACTGACTGTGACTCTCAGTAGTCAGTAAACTGTGCTGACTAGACTGTTCCTACTAATCCTAGATCCCGGCAAGTGTTAGTTAGGTCAGGTGTAGCGTTGCACTGCAACTGTGCTGCAGTGTGCAAGCCTGCAGGCTAGCTTGTACTTTGTAGATCTACCGTTTTGTTGATCTACTTGAACTGAGCCCCACATCAAGGCATCATCATGCATCATGCCTACAAAAGTTCAAAACAAAGTCTGCATGGTCGGTAGACCTACCGTAGACTACTGATAGAGGCCTAGAGTAGAGGGGGCCAGTCATTAGCGATATTTCATCTATCACTGACTGTATCAGAGAGTAGGCAGTACCAGTGGCAGTACGAACCGTAACGTCACCAATCGGCAAGATTCCCCAAGAACACGGTAAATCTACCAGGCCTGGCATGATACGTCACAGCCCGCACCCGGGTACCCGGTACCCAGCATACGTGCTTGCCACATGTGCATGCTTCGTCATTCGTCAAGTACGTTAAAGGGGAAGTTCACCCTAAAATCAAAATTTCACAGTTTGTAGATTTCGAGGCGCTGAGTTCGGTGGTGAAGGTCCCATCGCCGTACGATACGCCGTTCTGGAGATATTTGAATTTGAAATTTACCATGACGTCATGCAAAATGACGTCATGCGGCCGGCGCACACCCCCTCCACACCCTGTGACGTCAAAGAGATACAGGTTCCCGGTCTGCTTGCTTTTCAGTGAGCGAGAAAGAGTGGCGTTTGTGGAGTTTCTTTCTTGCGACCTGAACAGTTTCAACCACGATGACGGTTTGCTGTGCTGTCGGCTGATCTAACCAGTCTGGCAAGCCCCCTGGGACCACGGTGCATCGTATTCCGCGGGATAAAGCTCTCCGAGCGGAATGGGTTGCAGCGATTCACCGCGAGAATTTGCCACCTAAGTTTGAGGAGAGCTGTGCAATTTGTTCGGCACATTTTTGAGGAGATGCCTTCCAGAGGAACTTGCACGGAGAGATGGGCAAAACGTGCCGCCGAAAGCTGAAAGCAGACGCTGTGCTATCGATTTTCCCGGACAGGCGTCCCCCAGCGAAGCGAAGGATGTCGCAGTATCAGGAGAGGCAGGAGAGAGAAGAGGTGAGTGAATGGTTCTGGTGATTTCGTGCTTTGAGAGCGTGTTGAAACTTTGTCTGTACATCGCGAGTTGGAGAGGGCAGTTTCACCCACTGTGTTGAGTACATCGTATACTTGTAGAGAAAATTATTTACAGATACCGGTACAAAGCTGTTTGCAGTGTGTTGATTGCAAGGTACTAGTATTGAATGAAGACAGAAGATCGTGCAATATATTTTTGTTTTATTTCAATTCAAGTTTTACATGTCGTGAAAAGGCATACAGTCACGGGTCACTTGCACTAGCTCTGTCCTCTGCTTGGTAAGTTTCAATTCCAAGAAAGTCTTTATTGTTTTGCATTGTCACTGTTATCTGCGTGTATTTTGCGAGTATGATCCTAGCTCAAGCCTATGCTGAGCCGCATGCCGCAGCTTTTCGGTCTCCAGTTGCATGCGCATTGAGTCCAGACGATGGCATGATATCTGCTGATGCGTGCACACAGACCCCCGTCAGCACACGGGAAATTTAGAGGTGATGTTATGGTACCCACTGTGTAGATCAAATCCACACGGACATATGCTTGCAACACTGGCAGTACATTTTCATGACTATTCTTTTGCTATAAACACACACACACGCGCGCGCGCGCGCGCACACACACACACCTTTGATGCCAATCGCCCGAGGCAATGATGGCAATGCTACGGCAGAAGCCATAGCAACTTGTGCTGGAATTGCACCATTCAACAGCTTGCAAGGCTGAAGAATTGACCGTCACAATTCAGCCTGGTCTACACCATACAGCTACACACACACACGTGCAAGCACCTGGCTGACTACAAATAGTGACAGCTTATGATTGCTTTGCCGTTTGTCCATTATGCAGGTGTTCCACCGGACTCCTCGGCCAAGTTTTCCGAACATCAGCCATATGTATTGTCGGTATGCTGCGTAACGGTGCGAGCTGCTTTGGGGAACAGGGGAGCAGATCTTCCTGCTGTTAGTCTCACATGTCAACGTACATTTCAGTGCAACAGCAGCACACTACAACAACAATTTTTTGAAGAAGTATTCAAGCCAATATCCTGGTTATATTTTTGCACCATGGAACAGTATTTAATTTTGATGAGAAAATACAGTTCTCCGATGCAAAAATCGACGACAGTAATTACACTATTAGCACGTACCGGTTTCCAAACTCAGATGGCTTCGATCCGGCCTGCTGATGTCGGATCTTGCCCAAATAGCCACGCAGTACAATGTACAGTGCGTGCTGGATGCTGCAGCCTTCCTCGAACTGTGAGGTGCTGCCGATTCCGGAACATCTTTGCAGCAAATGCAGTCGTTCCGCAATAATTGAACGACGCATTTGCCACATTCACACCAGGACGTATTGCCAACGCGATCGGCAGGCCGGTGGCCAGCAGTCCTCTAAGCAAGCAGCAGGGTCAGTGTCGGCAGCAGCCGCTGCAGTTTCGTCAGCATTTACACCAACTTGCTCCGCACTCGCCATCTGCATGATCTCATCCTCGGTATACTCCGGTTCCTTCGCTGGCGTCCAACTCGCTCTCCTCGGAGTCACTGTCATCTCCTGACAAGGAGGTAGACCTACCCTGAATCGTTTCCGCTCTGAGCCTCATACTGCTTGACTTTCCGCCTTGGACATTCACGACTTCACTTTCTTCTCCGTCCAACTCCAAGTAAAAGTTCCGAGCTCCAGGAGCTCCTCTATCTCTTTGACGTCACAGGTTCGTGACGCCATGGCGGCGCCAAAAACCGGGGATCAAAGTGATATTTCAGTTGCGTATATCTCCGGTTATAGTCACCGGATGAAGACGAGACATACACCAATCGACTCAGCTGATTTTTCCCAATAACATATCTGATTTTGATTTTAGGGTGAACTTCCCCTTTAAGTCAGGACTCAAGCAAGCCAAGGTCGAGTTTTTGTCGTGCTCTGCACCTGCACCGTTGTGGCGTTGGAACTAGAATGACTATGTTATGTACATGTATGTCAGCACTTCTTTACGTCCGCTTCAGTTCAGCAGCCAGTCGACAGAGACGATCAGCGACTCACCTTTAGCCTTAGCCAAGATCAGCAACACATTCAGCACTGACTGAGTCAGTGACCAGGGTGCTACAAATGACTAGTCGATGCTTCTGTACTGACTGCAGGAGTAGGGTACAATGCCAAATTGGGGGCAGCAAAAAATGTGCACAGTGAGTCTGACGTTTGACTTTGAGTCTACTACTAGTACAGTCAGTAGTACTAGTAAAAGACGTATCGAAACGTATATCTCTCTCTTCTCCCTCCTCCTCCTCCTCCCCCCCCCCCCCCCATGCATGGCTTCAAGTCTAACTACTCTAAGTGACTACGTATCGTATCATTCTAGCAGTCTGCCAGGATCTAGTAGTAGCCTGCACCACATGTGGCATGCCCAGACTTTTGATTTGATCTTTATCCAGTGACCCATTCGCATGCAATACGTGTACATTGCACAATGTCATGTTGTGGCAGTCCAGTGATACAAAACAACAAGGACAATCAAGGCTTGTTTGCTGCTACTTCAAGTTTCATGATCAGGCAACCCCCTGCGGTCCAGTGATAGAATATTGCACATGTATGGTTGCAACAGTAAAGACTTTTATTATTATTATTATGTCTCCTTTATTCACTTCTTTCGAAGGCGATAAGCCAGACCCACCGGGAAATATTTCCATAGGTGGGACAGCAAACAGAAAGTGAAAAAAATAATAAAATAAAAAGCCAAAAACCGAAGGGACAAGAAATAGGGGAAGGAAGAGGAAGAAAGGAAAGAATCTCAAACTCCAACATCAAAACAATAAAGAATTTGCAACGACAGGTATTGTACAAAGACAGGTATTGTACAAAATTAATGATATTAAAGGACGTTGATGTTGTTATGGGGATTACAAAGGAAATATCTTTATCAGTCGTTATTCAAGTCTCTTGGCTATTGAACATGAAAACGCAGCAGATGTGCATCTACATGTTAAGGACAGTTCTTAGTATTTTAACCGAACCTTGGATAGCCTCCTGTTGCACAATAGCCAGGTCTCCTCCCTGCACAGTCCGGAGCTCCGGAGGCATTGAGGAGCCTCCCCCACCAAGCCTCCCAGGGCACCGACAACCACAGGGACCACGTCAACCTGGGTGAGGGACCAAATCCTGGAAATCTCCCGCTTCAAGTCATAATATTTCGAGCGCTTTTCAGCCATTTTCTTATTGATGTTGTTCTCACCAGGAACGCTGATGTCTATAATGTATGCGATGCGCTCCTTGTCATCAACAATATTATTATTATTATTATTATTATTTTTTATTATTATTATGGAAGCAGGATAAGGCTG